CCCCTCAGAGCCCTGGGCGAGAGTCCTCGCTGGCCTCTGCCTGTTTCTCCTGGCTGCCAGCAGCCCTCGCATTCCATGGCGGTTCAGCGCAACGGGAGGCTTTCTAAGAAAATGGGAGGTGAGAAGTCCCAGGCAGGCAGGGCTGTCCCCGGCGAGGCCCTTGCGCTGTGCTGAGCAGCGAGTGCGTGGTGCTGAGTGCGCCTTGGGGAGAGCGAAGCAGCCCTCGCACGCGGGAGCGGAGCTGCAGTGCTCTGGGCCGCCTCCTCCACGACCCCTCAGGAGGACAGCGGCAGGTCCCTGGAAAGTCGGTCCTGTCCTCTAGGAGGGAGGGCTGCTCCTGTGACCCGACGACCTCGCCCGAGGGCCGCTTCTTCAGGCGCGCTGCCTCTGCGCATCATCACCCCAGCACCAGCGCCACCCAGAGCCCTTGGGGAGCGCACCATGGGCCCGCCGCCGCCCTTCTCGGTCTGTCCCCTTCGCACCTCCTGTGCATCTGTTTTGATTGCTCAGTGTGGGTTGTGTGTTTTGCACACACCCACCTTCCCATGACAGCAGCGCCCCTCCCATCCCCCCTGTCTCAGAAACCTCCCTTCTAATTTCATGGCATGTTTTTAGAGCGCCTACGAGAGGGAATCCACACAGTACTTGACTTTTGAAATTTGGCCGATGAGGCTCAACACGGTGTTCTGCAGATCCGTCTGTTTTCCTGCAAATGACGATGTCTCTGTAGAACTACAAGCGCTCCACTGCATTTGCATGTCATGTTTTCTTTACCTGTTCTGCTGTCGGAAGGCAGCAAGGCAGGTTTTATAGTTTGTTGTGGTGAATTGAGCTGAAAGACAGAAGCTTTAAAACCTGCGCTTCTTTTCTTCATCGTATCTTTGTTTCTTCCATCCTTTCTCCACAGAGTATTTTTAGGCATCGATAGATGAGACTAAATGTGGAGGTGCAGTGTGAGGTGTCCAGGGGAGACATGGGCTAGAGGGTGCTACGTGTAAGACTAGGGCTTCGGAGATGTGTGCACATGTTCTCACAAAAATGAATCTGTGGGCATATTTTCTACAATTAAAAAATTTCCAAGTATATTTGTTGCCAACATAGAGTATTTTGCATAACAGACTGCTGGTGGTTGTGGTACAGTGAGCAGTCCTTTTAGCGTAGATTTGCAATTTTGTTTTATTGAAATTTTAAAGAGAGCTGGTGATATTTTATACTTTCTATCAGGTTTTGCCTGTCATGTTTTTACCTTGTTTTATTTATCATATCTTATTTTTATTTCATCTAATAATTAGCCTTGGAAACAATGTTCATTGCTTTGAAGGAGAGAGAATTCACTTTTTCACAGTTTTTAACGCTCCCTCTGTTTCCACCTCCAGCCCAGACCTCCAGTTTCTGTTTTAATCCCGGCATTCCCTAAGGAGAGCTGCTAGACTCCTAACTCTGCTTCTGTGTGCAAAGCCACAGCAGTGATGACCCAGAACCACAGAAATCAGGGTCGCAC